AAAAAAAAAAAAAAAAAAAGAAGAAGAAAATAAAATAAATTGGGCCTGTAGTACCAAGAGGCAACTTGACGTGACGGAAGATACAGGGTGAAATGGCACTGGATACGATGAGACAATATGATCTTTTTCCTCCTGTTTCTGGTTTGGGTGCCCTCGCAGAATATGAAGGCGGGTGTGTTCCTCTTCAGGGAAAATAAAGAGAGACGATCTGAGAGACTGCCGATGAAAAAAAAAGGAAAAAGAAAAGAGATTGTCGATGATATTCAATTCTGCGGCGTTTTTTTTTTTTTGGGCAATTTCAAGTTACAACGGGCCAAGTCCCACTAAGCCGAATTCTCGGTTTCTGACCGCAGGTTTGGAAGATCAACGGCGAGGATCAGTGTGTAAGTGGGACTTGGCCCAATGACTACACGTACAAAGAGGGAAGAAAGAGCGGCCCTTTACACAAGACATGACATCTTTTACGCAGGATCAGGATGCAGAGATAATGACGCATCTATTGCAAACAGCCAAAAATGTACGTGGGAGATTCGGTGTGTCCGTGGTAGCTCTCTCTTTGTTTGGTTCCCCCCCCACCCTTTAAATTTAGGGTTCTACCCCCTATGGGACTTCCTCCCACCCCTGGTCTCGTCAATGCTACTCGGCGCACCCCCTACGTTTCCTCTTTGTTTGGTTTCCGCACCCCCTACGTTTCCTCTTTGTTTGGTTTCCCCCCCCTTAAAGTTAGGGTTCTACCGAACTTCTACCCCGTATGGGACTTCCTCCCTCCAGTCCGGTGGCTTGTTAACTACATGTCCTCCTGAAGCACCTAAATACACTCTCCGTGAAGGAAAGACACACAGAGACCATTCTCCGTCTGCAAAGTCAGACCAAGGTGACCAACTTCCTCTCGTCCTGGTTCAAACGCTCTCCTTGTTGTCCCAATAGACCGGCTTGGCACAAAAAGTGCAGTTGACCCCCGCCTTTCCCGGCTTGACAATGCGGAGACCTTGGGGTTTATTCCTGCAGAAGGTGACTTGGGTGTCCGCCGAGATGTCCACATTGAAGCTCCCTCGAGTCTTTGCGTTATTGCCCCGGAAAGTGCAGCTACAGAAATTAATGTTGTCATAAGCTGTTTCACCCTCCACTTCCACGGCACCGCCTGACCCATTGCGGGCGGAGTTTCCCACAAACTCAGACCTGGAGATCACACTCCAGCTGTCACCTCCGAAATTGACCGCCCCGCCATCGCCATTCCGCGCCGAGTTTCCATGGAACCTGCAGCCGACGACATTAAGCCCATCCTGGTATACGCGAGCCGCACCTCCGCTCATGCCCGCGGAGTTGCCGCTGAACACAGACCTCCGGACTGTTCCGGCGCCGCCGCTGAACACCCTGATCGCTCCTGCCAACTGCACTGCCCGGTTATTCCGGAACTGGAAGTCGCTCACAAGAATAGCCGAGTCGCGCACAGCCAGCGCTCCCGCGGTCAAAGCCTTGTTGCTCTCGAACACGCACCTCGTCGCCCTGATCTTCCCATTAAACGCAAACGCGACGGCCCCAGTCCCGTCACTGTAATCGTCCCCCGTCCTGGTGTCGCACATGTTCTTGAAGTGGATGTCGCTCATGCCCACATAAAATCCATCGCTCCTGAAGCCTCGGAACTTGCCCTTTGGTCCCTGCATCTTCCCACCAGCGTGAAGTCCTTTTTGGAGGGAGGCAGAGACGCCGTCAGAGCGACGTCCGATGTCAAAATGAACCGGGACAGCTTGGGGTCCTTCAACGCCGCGACCAGACGCTGCTCCGCGGTGATAGTCGCTGCTGCTACTGTAACCGCTCCCACCGGTCCCAGCCCTGCATCGCTTGGCGCCAACAGCACGGCCATGCCCAGCAACAGTATCGTCACAGGCATCATGCATTGCGGGGCCATCCCCGATGATGCGGGTGCAGCTCAGCAGGGTGCTCCTTGTTGGAAACAAACAATGGAAACGAACAGTGTCACCCTCCTCCCTCACGTACCCGCCGTCCCTCCTCCAAGTATTGCCCTCCCGACCTCACATCCACCCCCTCCTCAATCTCAAGTGGCTACTCCGAATTCTTTTTCGAAAGAGGAGAGACGAGACGGGTATTAGCTTTGGATTGGAAGATCGTAGAGGTCGCTCTGCATGCACTACCGGTAGGCCGCCAGGAGTTCCGGACAGCCAGCCTGAACAAGCAAGCGACAAGCAATCGACAAGCAAAGAGGGAAGCAGAAAGCAGCCGGACTCATAGCCAACACAGCAGCAAATAGGGAAGAGGAAGAGGTTAGAAATCAGAGAAACAAAGAAAAAGAAAAGAAGAAAAAGGAAAAGAAAAAGAAAAAGAAAGAATCAGAGAAAGAGGGGAAGACAGTACTGAATGATCGGCAAGATGGGATCATGATAGGCCAATGGGTATGGGTAATGATGGGTTCAAAGCCAGACCAGATTTCAAAAAGGGATATATATTAGATGTAATTAAGGACAGGTGCAAATTATCTATCTTCAAATCATAGGATCATTACACACGTACATCTCCATGACTTGCCAATCCAATCATACGGCCAACGGAAAAGAGATTTAATTTATCGCTCCTAAAAATACCCTCGATCCAATCATATGTTAGAAGAAAGGAACGTATAATAACCAGCAATAGGCGCCTGCGCTTCTGTCGGCATTTCCTTCTCTGCTGGGACGAGGTCCCACTGGGGCCTGGATTCTACTCTATTGAATGCCTGAATCTTGGCGTGTCTGTTGGGTAGGTGCAGAAAATCGACATCGAAGTGCTTTTCTGCATCTCCCGGCGAAAGACATCCAGATTCAGGAGCTCAATCCAATCCTCTTCGGCAGCGGGACCCTGCCTCTGGTGGGATAGGCGAAGCCCACTTTTTGGCGCCTTGCTTTTGCAGAACTCTAACCCCTTCAAAAAAGAGCTTACCAGCATTTAAAAAAAAAAAAAAAAAAAAAAAAAAAAAAAAAAAAAAAAGAGCTTGCGAGTATCATTCGGGTTTGAGCCAACATTAGATTGTGTAAAGAAAAAACGAGCGCAGAAAAAAAAAAAAAATGGTTTTTTTTTTTCTTTTCTCTCTTGTTGATTGAGCAAGTTGGAGCAACAGCACGCATTAAAAACTATCGTAAATTCCTTTCTCGGCCTTTTGGCTAAGATCAAGGGCGTCGCCGCACGGGACACGAAACGAAAAACGAAACGAGTGCATCTTCCTGCAGAAAATGGCCAGGTTCATCGGTTTGCTATAAATAGTAACGAGTGTATTTGCCACCTTTCGTGGGCAGATGCACTCGTTTCGTTTTCGTTTCGTGTGCCGTGCGGCAAGACCCCAAGTGCACTGTATCTGTTCTGATCAGTTTAATATCTGATCGGTGGTCCATCGGACCACACACACACACACACACACCCAAAAAAAAAAAAAAAAAAAAAAAAAAAAAAAAAACTATCGTGAGGCTCGAGAGAAGGAAGGGTACAAAAGAGCAGCGAAGACACGCCAGCGAAAATAAAAAGCTGTTGTGACTTCGCATCAGAGCTACCATCGTCACCCGAACAGAACGACCGGTCATTATCGCTGCATATGGACCGAAAGTTGTGCCAAATGCGGCTATAATGACCGGGCGTTCTATTCGGGTGAAGACGGTGGCTCGGTCTGTTTCAGAGCAGAGGATATTTTTATCTTACCGTGTTCCCCCCAACAGCACGCACGCACGGTCATTGATGTTGTATCGGACTGAAAAACCCTGAATACGGAATAAACCAGATATTGTTAAAAAAAAATAATAAAAAAAAATCCACCCCTACCGTGTTTTTTTCCAAACACGAGCCGTCAGGCTACTGAGGCTAGGACTAGACGCCGTAGACGGCCACCCTGATGGCTCCGCTTTCAGCAGCGTACTGTGTGTAATACTGTCTACCATGTCACCTCCTCTTGACAGGAGGAGGTCCCCATGAGGATGATACAAAGGAGTCATGTCAAGAGGAGGTGACATGGTAGACAGTATTACACACAGTACGCTGCTGAAAGCGGAGCCATCAGGGTGGCCGTCTACGGCGTCTAGTCCTAGCCTCAGTAACCTGACGGCTCGTGTTTGGAAAAAAACACGGTAGGGTTGGAATTTTCAGTCCGATACAACATCAATGACCGTGCGTGCGTGCGTGCTATTGGGGGGAACACGGTAAGATAAAAATATCCTCTGCTCTGAAACAGACCAAACTACAGTCTTTGGGCGGGGCCGCCTCCCTCCTTCTCCTTCTCCTTCTCCTTCCCCTTCCCCTTCCCCTCCCCCGAATTCGCAGAAGACCCGTTCTGACGCCCTGTCCCCTCCCCGATCCTCGCCGTTTGTCTGTCCTTGTTCTCGTATGTTATATCGACTTGTCCGACACTTACGCTCGCTCCTTCTTCCGCCGGTGGAAGCACACCCGTGCGCGCGCCACTCTGTGCGTGTGTGTGTGTGTGTGTGTGTGTGTGTGTGTGTGTG